GCTTTTCCATTGCTTTGCCTGCGGAGCGACTCCAGGAGGAGCCGTGGGGTTTCTGTGCAGCACAGCCGGTTGTACGAGGCAGGGCTGGGGCCAGGCCCTGCGCTGGAGCGATACCAGCGTTGCAGGGATCTCCCCAGCTGAACGAGGAACACCACTTGCTACCACTGGGCTGAACAGCCGGCGTGGGGTGGACGCTCTCGTAAATCCCTTTTTCACCTTGCAAAAACCTCCCCGCGGGGGTGACACTCTGGGTGGGGACGTGGCTGTGGGGCACCCTCCTCTTTACCCTCACCCAGAAAGGGAAGGGACCTGGTGTGTTGGGGGGGGTGTTACAATATCATATTTATGAAGTACCTTAGTGGGGACCTTTCCTGCTCCAGCTCTCGGCCTTCTTACAGGCGGGCTCTGAGTTGGGGTAGGCGACTTTGCGCTTCCCCCAGCCCCGTGCTGGGGTTTGAGGGGGGGGGATGCGAAATGCACGGGGTGGTTTGTCATGGAGGTACGGGGCCAGCGGGCTCTCGCCTCGTCTCCGCCTGTCCCCGGAGAAGCTCCTGTCCTCTGAACTTTGCCTTGATGAAATGCAGCGGACGAGGGGGCCCGACGCCCTCCCCTTCCACCCTTTCGGGCTCCCAGCGGGGCTGAGGCGGTGGGTATGGGGGTGTCTGTGAGGGGTGGGCTCCCACGAGGGTCAGGACTTTGCCTGGGTGCCCGGGGGGGGGACGAGCGAGGGGCTGGGCTCCTCCTGCCTCCCCCACGCTGCAGGCAGGAGGTGAGGGGAATTATTTCCTCTGCGTCTCTCCAGCTCGCCTCGCTTGGGGAAATAAAAGTGGAAAATCCACGTGTCCTCCGCACACGGGATCCGTGTGCCTGCCTGGAGCTGGCTCAGCTCCTTCCTTGGGGTGCTGGCAGGGGGGCCCGGGACCCTTCCAGGAGGAACGGCCCAGCTCTGGCACCCGCCTCGCCGCTGCAGCACCCCGAGGGCCGGTGCTTGGAGTCCAGGGCCCCGAGCAGCAGAAGGCGATTCACCCCGGGGAGGGGGAGAGAAATCGCCTTCAAAGCAGCATCTTCCCCCCGGGGGCTCTTGGTGGGACCCCGGCACGGGTCCCCGGGGGGGTGCCACCAGTTGGGAGCAGCAGGGCTCACCGAGGGTGAAACGGGGCTCCTGCCCACGCAGCTCCACGTTCCCCCCCCTGCTCGCCCACCTTGCGGGACCCTTCGTGCTCCCCCCCTGCTTTCACAAGCATCCCGCCTCCTTCAGCCACCCGACTCCTCCTTGCTGAAGGAAAAGCGACTCGCTGGTTTGTTTTCTTCTTTTTCAGGCTTCATTCGTGCTCGGGGCAGCGGGGGGAGGGAGCGGTGGCTGGGCGAGATGCCCCGAGGTGCCCCCGGGGCCGATGTGCACCAGGGCGGAGCGGGGGGGGGGGGGGGGGGGGGGGGGGGTGCCAGCGGCATCTGCACACGCGTGACACGGGGGTCACAACCCCGGGTTCGCTTTCTTTGTACGCCTTATTTACAATGTCCCAAGAAATGATTTCCTGGGGTGCTGACGTGGTTTTCGGTGTGGATTTCCTCCTTCCCGCTGTGAACTTGTTCTGGGTTCGGGACTTGAAAGTAAAACAAGATCTTGTTTGGAAGGGAACAAAAGACCTGGACGTAGCGATGAACCGGTTAATAACAACAGCGGGAGGCGGGGGAGAAAAGAGATTTCAGCCCCAGCATTTATTTTGAGACAAAGGGCAGCACAGTCAGCGCTGTAAACGCCCTTGGCTGGCTGGCTGGCGCGCTCGCCTGCGCTGGATGGAAAGCAGAGCTGCGCGGCGGCGAAGATAAGACGGTCCTTTGGCAGCGACTACAAGGAAGCAGTATGTGCCCGGATCAAATTGGCACCACGACGCCCTGAGAAATAAGGTCAACCTCCAAATGTTAGTAGAGCTGCAGCCGTCCCCCCTCGCCCCCTCTGGTCTTTTTTTTTACAGCCGGAGGAAAGGGCTGGGGAGGTTTCTGGGCTGTCACCTGGCAGGGATGAGGCACCCGTGCGGGCTGGGGAGCAGCTTTCAGTTTTGGGTGATTTGATTGTTGTTTTTTGTTTTTTTTTTTTTGTTTTTTTTTTTTTTTTCTCTAGATGCCCAGAGTGCTGGCACCAAGGTTTAGCACCTCTCCGCTTCCCCGCACACCCCTCTGCCCTCGCAGCCGGGCCAAGGAACCCCGGAGCACCCAGGCAGTGTTCTTTTAGATGCTCCCAGGTGCCACACGCCCCGTGGGCATTTACACACGCACATGCAGGTTTTTTTGGTGTAAAATCCCTGACGGCGGGCGGGTGGCTCGAGGCCTTTGCCCGGTGGTGTCTGTGCCACCCGAGGTGGTTGGCTCCTCTGCCACAGGCTCCTACAGCACGATTCTACCTGCGGGTCGCGGAGCTTTGACAAAGACCGACGGCCGTAGGCGTCTCCTACACACGGGGAAATCAAGGCACAGAGGCTTCAGGAGTGACCAGGTCTTCGGGTGAAGAAATGAAGTAGTGCCTGCCCGCGATCTCTGTCATTGCCCAACTCAAGCTGCTTCCTCCATCCCTGTCAGCTCTAGAAAATGAAGGCAGTGAGCGTTAGCAGGTTACGGTTGTGACTTCAACCCCCTTTGGTTAAAGGCTCCCCCGTCCTCTTCGTGCCTCTGGGCTGTTCTGCAGGTATTCCTGAAAAAAAAAAAATCTTTGTATAATGTTGTGTCAACAAACCCTCAGCTTGGAGGAAGGCGTGAGCTGGGTTCTTCTTCCTCTGTAAAATGGAAATGCCCAATTTCTGAGGCTGTTGCACACGTGGCCGTGGGGTTGAGCTTATCCAGTCTTCAGGACTTACCATTAACATCACACTTAGAAAAGCCAGGACCTGCTTTTGTACAAGCAAGCAGCAAGGCAGCCTTGCTGGGCACTGGAAGCGCCAGTGTGACTGTGGGAACACAACTGGGGACGCTCGGAGGGGTTAGGGCTGGGGATGTGCCGGAGCAGGAGGTTCTCCGGTGCCTCTCCACGTGGCCGCAATGAGGCTCTGGCTTCAGCCGCACTCGCTGCTTGTTGCTAAATTTCAGTCTAGTTTGAGAAACTGAAGCCTGTCTTCCCATTTGGCGCATGTCAAACCCGCATCAAATTCCCGGGATTGTTTTGGATTGTTTTGCTTTCGTCAGCCTTGGTTTTTTGGGTTTTGTTTTGGGTTTCTGTTTTTTTGTTTTTTTTTTTTTTTTTTACATTAAGCCTCCTCTAAGCTCACGCCAGGGCTGGGAAGGGTGAGGTTGCTCCAAAAGCTCCCAGGGAGGGGAGATGAAGACTCAGGACCCGGTGACTCTCCCGGAGCAGCCGGTGCCTCTCAAACCATCCCCCCCCCGTGCCTGACTCTCACCTTCCCTTTCTCTTCATGCCCCCGGGGCTCTGCAGGAGCCTGCTCCTCTCCCCGGAGGCGTCCGTGGGCCAGCTCCACCCCACGGCTCTGGGGACGGCCGGGGCTGGGGGGATGCCTGCCAGCCCCTCTCCCCACCGCCGGGAAGAGCCCGGAATGGGGAGAACTGGAAAAGCTGCCGAGCTGAGAGCCGCTCCCCCCCCCCCCCCCCCCCCCCCCCCATCTCTCATCGCCCGGTGCCGCTCGGCTCTCGCCAAGCTGCTAGCTGCCCCGATGCTCGTGGAGTTTATCTTCTCCAAAAACACCCGCCCACGATTCTGCTCCCTTCCAGGAAAGCGGAGCGCCCCGCTGGCGCGGAGCCCGGCTCCCCCCGCGACGGGGGGGTTGGGGGGTGGGGGGGGGCTTCACCTGCCCCGCCGCCGGCTCCTGGCTGCGTGGCAAACGGCAGCCTCCCACCCGCTCCCGGCCCGGGGGGCTGCCCTAAACTCTGTTTCCGAGGAAAAAAAAAAACCTCTGGACGACCGGCTCCGTTTCCTGCGGCCCCGGGTGGTCTGATTCAACCCTGAGATCCCAGAGCTGCTGCCGAAGGCAGCTCGGGAGTTGGGGGTGCAGGAGCCGGGGTGAGCGCGGGGGTCCCCGGGGCGGGGGGGGGTGGGGTGGGGTGTTGCAGGCTGGTACGGATTTTAAAAGCCCTGGGAGCCCGATTCCTGCTGCTGGGCACCAAGGTAGTTGAGAAAGCAGGAGGAGGAATGAAAGGTGGAAAAAAATGGGCCTTTTCAAAGGTGGTTTGGGAAGTTTGTGGGGCTTGGCAACCCCAAAGCAGAGAGAGGAGGAGCAGCCCTGGGGTCCCCCGGGGGCAGCTGGGCTAGATGTACACCCCCCCCCCCCCGAGAGCTGATGGGCACAGAGGAAGATGAGGAATGGAGATCCCAGGGGGGGCTCTGCCAGAGCCGGTGTGGAGCTGCCCCTGGTCCCAGGGGAGGTGAGGGCACCTGGCTCGGAAGCAGGAGCATCTCCCTGGGAATGCCCCGGGTGTCGGCAGAGCCCTTCGAGGGGCTATGGGTGCGAGTTGAGGCAGGAGCTGGTTCCTGCCTGCGGCTTTCGCTGGGCTCCGTCTGCAGCTCTCGGGATCAGAGCTCCTGGGAACTGCACCAGCCCCGTCCCCCGGGGCTGCCTCAGCACCCGGCAGCTCTGGCACCGCACCCGGGCTGCTCTGCTGCTGCCAGCATCCCAGCACCAGCAGCATCCCAGCACCAGCAACATCCCAGCACCAGCAGCATCCCGCAGCATCCCAGCACCAGCAGCATCCCAGCACCAGCATCCCAGCACCAGCAGCATCCCAGCACAGGTGGGCTGGCGTGGTGGTGGGGAGGCTGGAGGCAGCTGGGGGGAAGCTGCCCCTCTGCTCTGCTCCCTTGCAACCAGCCTCTGGGCTGGGCTGGGGCAGGGAAATGGGGGGGCTGATAAGGCCGGGGTGCAGCGAGAGGGGTTGCCCAGCACCCTGGGGTGCTGCTGCCTGCCAGCTGAGCCTGGAAGCTGGGCCAGACCTCAAAATCCCTGGTCTGCACAGCACCAAGCCTGCTCGGGGGCCCAGAGCCAGACCAGCAAGACCGGTGCTGGAGTACAGGGTTTATTTAAACCAGCACTGAGAGCCCCCTCGCTCCCACCCCCGCCGCCGTGCCCGCGTGGGGGGTGCCTGTACCCTTCGTGGGGGTCTGTGCTGCATTCCTGTCCATACACACCAACAGTCTTTATATGATACAGAGATTATACAGGTAATTACAGAGGGGGGGGCTGTGTCCACCCCAGCACCCACGGGCGCCCGGCTCGCCCGTGCTCTGCCCTGCTTGAACCCACCTTCTGCGTCTGACAGGGCCTTAAACACCGAGGGGTGGGCTGTGCTCCTCCGGGGTCCTGCGCCGCTGCCGCTCACCCACGAGCCAAAATCCTGCAGGTTAACGCTGGCCGGGGCTAAAGCCGTGGGCGAGCAGGTGGCCACCACGCTGGCCCTGGCTGCGCTGGCCCGGGCAACGGGGCTGGGAGGACCAGAAGCCCCGGGGATGCTTGGTCAGAAGCGAAGGGGGGGTGCGATGGCCAGCTCCCAGGCTGGATGGTGCTGTGCAGCCCGGCTGGGGCAAAACGCGCCTGTCTGCGGCTGCTTGGGCTGGTGACTAGTTCAGCTTCGTGGCCCTGCTCTTCCACCTCCCCCGAAACCCGGCTGCCGGCATCGCCCCCGGGGTTTCCAATTAACCCGCATGGAGACTCCTTCACGTGGCCGCTGCCGGACCCACGGGCTGGCCCCTGGTGTCCCCCCCCCGGGGGTGCCGGCTCGGGGTCCCCCGCCAGCGGTGGGGGTCTGCCTTGCAGAGGCTCGTCCCCCCCCCGCCCCGGGGACGCTTCGTCTTGGGGTCACAAACGGGGACACCCCCCCTCGGTGCTGCCTGCGCCATGTGCTCCCACGAGAGCCAGGGAGGTGACACGCCACGGGGGGCTGGGACGTTGTGCGTGTCGTGTGTGTCCGTCCCCGTCCCCCCCCCCCCTCCCTGCCTCATGTCTCCCGTGGGCCCTCGCAGACCCTTCCTGGCTCGTGGGCTTCCTCGTGCGGCACCCAGCGCCGCGGGTCCCGGCGGGCAGCCACCCCCCCCCAGCCCCCCAACGCGCCCTCCTCCTCCTCGTCCCTCGCCGCAGGGGACGGTCAGTCACACAGGGAAGGACCCCGCGCTGGAACAGCTGCTGCCCCCCGGGGCCACGCGAGAGGACGGGTGGGCAGGAGCAGCGGGAAGGTGGGAAGCGGCGGCGGCTGGTCACAGGTCGAGCCGGAAAGCCCCGAAGTAGCTGGCTGCTGCGTCGTTGTAGTCGATGGCCAAGGAGGAGACGGAGACGAAGAGCTCATCGCCGGCCTTCAGCTCGAAGAGTCCCCCCTGGTAGAGGGCGTGGAGCCCGTAGTCCGCTTCGGGCGCCCAGCACTTGGTGCCGACCCCTTTGAGGAGGAGGATGGGCTGGCTGTAGGACGTCTTCCAGTTGATGCACTGCACGAGCTGCGGGACGGAGACGCGGGCGCCGGCCCCGTCGCTGGGGTAGCGGAAATAGATCTGGGAGTAGACGTAGTACTTGCCCGCCTGGTTGACGCGCAGCCGGCCGTCCCGGTACGTGATGTTCTGCAGGTGGGAGTGGATGGTGCTGTCCTCCCAGCGGGCGATGGCGTGGCGGCAGGACTGGGAGAGGTTCCCGAAGCGCTTGGAGTTCCCTGGGGAGAAGGAAGGGTCACCGAGGGGCGCGAGATGCTCTGGGGGGGGTGTCGGGGTCAGGGGGAAGGGAGGGGGGTGGCTCTGAATCTCTCCCACAGCTCGGGGGGGTGGCCTTGGACTGGACAGGAGAAACATCTCCCCATCTGCCACCAATGCCATCCTGGTCCCCTGCCCTTCGGGCGAGACCTTTCCCCTGTTCCCACCTCAGAATCCCGCCGGTGCGCAGCGGGGCTCCCCGACTCACCATCCTGGGCCAGGCTCTGCGGGCGGAGGGTGAGATGTGCCGAGGGTTTGCCGGCTGTTTTGGGAGGAACCTGCCCCTTTGAGGTGTTGAAGGCGCTCCGCCGGGCCTCTGCGAGGAAAGGGACACGGGGCTGGAGAGGACAGAGAGCGTGGGGACCCCCAGCCCCGCGCCGGCAGAGCGGGTCCCTACTGAGCAAGCAGAGCAAGCGGGGCAGGGAATCGCCCCACTGACCCATCGAAAAGAGGTTATTTGGGGATGGAAATGTCTAGTCAATCATTATCTAACATTTCTGTGCTGTGTCCTGTGGCCCTGCTTCCCCAGACGCCAGACAGACGGACATGGCTGTCCCCCCGACCCGTTCCCCGGGGATGTTACACCCTTGCCCTGCCCCGTGGGGCAGTCCCTGCTCTCCCCTCTCCCGCCCCAGCTCGCAGCACCGTGCCCGGCGGAATTTGCCCCGGGAGCGACCGAGCTCCCCCCGGCCCCGCCGGCGTCCCCGGCCGCACGTGGACCACGCGTCCGTCTGTCCGGCTGCCGCCCCGGGAGGCGGCTGGGCCAGGAGGGACTCACCCTTCACCGCGCTCCTGCGGACGACGTCCTCTGTCACCTGGACCGTCAGAGAAGAGAAACAGTCCCACGGTTAAGGGTGAAGCGAGCGGTCCCTCGTCTCTCCCAAGCCCCCACCGCCTCGTCTCCCACGCCACGGCTTTGGGCTCCACCAGCTCCTCGCCGCAGAGGACGTGGCGTCCAGCCCCACTCCTCCACCCTCCTCTTAACCCTTCCTTGCAACTGCCCTCTGCCACCCCTCCGGTGAGGCCAACGGGGAAACTGAGGCAGGGAGGCAGAGGGGAGCTCTCCCATTGGTTGTCCCATCCTCCCCCAGGCCCTGAAGCTGGTGGGTCTGGGCTCACCGTGGCCACGTAGGCTTTGATGGTGTTGGCCAGCTTGAGGCAGGACTGGTTGCTGATCAGCTCCTCCAGGCTGGAGCCCTCCTGCTGCTGGTTGATAACCTGCAGGCACCGCAGCTCCTCCGCGCTCCCGGGCGCCTGGGCTTTCAGCTGGAACGGAAAACACCCACGGTGTCTCCTGGGCTGGGAGTGGGGAGGGGGGGGCCTTGGGCGGATCCAAAAGTCTGTCGACGATTAATCTGGTTTTGTGAATCTCAGGTGAAATCTCACCTTGTCCTCCTCTGATCCCCGGCGGAAGCGAGCCCTGCTCATCCCTCGCTCCTTGGGGAACACGACAGCCCCTTCCGCGGGGTCCCAGCGCCGAGCGCGAGGAGGAGGCGAGACCCGGGTAAAGGGAAAGCACCCAGATCTCCCACTCTCCAGCTCCTCCACCTCTTCCTCTCCCGCCCGGGGGTGGGGGAACAAGGCTCCTCAAGCAGTAAAACCCAGCCTGGGTGCTCCCCGGGGGAGCCAGGCTTGGCTCCGGACGGCGCCCGGAGGGAAGAGCTGCAGCTGCGGGCTGGACGTGCCCGGGCAGCCTGGGCTTCCCCGCCGCCCAGCCGAGCTGGGGAACTGCAAAACAAGCTCTCACGCAGCTCTGCCCCTCCGGCTGCCGAGCCGGGCTGGCTGGAGATGGGACCCCAACGCACCCGCAGCGCTGCGGCAGCCCCGGCCCAGCTCAGACACTTCCTAGGCTGCCTGGGCTCTGCGGTTTGGGCTGGGAAGCTTTCCCTTCCCCACGATGGGGGCTGCTGCACGGCGAGCTGCCCCTTCCCACGCTGTCCCGGGCCTGAGCCGGCTCAGCTCGGGGCCGTGGTGTTGCAGCGGGGGGACGGGGACGGCTGGTTGTAGGGGCTTCACCGCGCCGTGCTGCTGCCTAGAGGAAACTGAGGCACAGAGGGGACGGCTGCCCTGAAATCGGCGGTGCCAGGAGCTGGGAATGAACACGGGCACCTCGCCCGTCCGGCCCTTATCACCTGGGTCATTCCCAGATCCCAGGGCAGAACCCAGGAGTCCTCGGGTTTGGCCACATCGTCACCGGGGGCTTGGCCCCCTCCAGCACCCCACACTCCCCCCGGGGCCCTGCTCGCTCCGCACCCCCCCCAGACTCCTCGGCTGTGGTTTCGGGTACCCCCTTTGCCTGGTGCTGGGCTGCGCTCCAGTGCAGGCTCAGCTCCACCTCTAGTACCCGCAGAAAGACTGCAGCGAGGCCCAGGCTGCCGGCAGCACTAATTACGCCACGGGTCCATCTAATTGGGGTCAGCCCTCCTCCCACCAGCCCCCAGTACGGTGGTGGTGGCACCGGTGGTGGTGGCACCGTCCCAGTAGCGGCGTGGGGACTGCAACCGTGGGCCTCGTCCCTCTGGGTCCTACCAGCCGCCCGGCACCGACTGATCACGCTAATTGGCTTGATTAAAGCTCGCTGCGATGGGCTGCACCCCTCTCCTCGCAGGGTAACCCCGCCGCCCGCCTTCTCCCCTCCTGGGGCCCGTGCGCTGGGCAGGGTGTTTCAATTAAAGGAAAAAGGGGGAAAGTTTTGTAAAACTGGAGGCAGGCGGGCCCTGCCGGGTGATTCAGTGTCCCCGGAGGTGCTGATCACCAGCACAGATCCCCTGCGGGGATCCAGTGACTGCAATTAGCCCAAAGCGGGCAACTGAGGGGATTTTTCTCCTCCCTCCAGCCCTTCCCCGTGGCTCTGCCCCCGTCCCCCTGCGCCTTTCACGCAAACCCCTCGCAGCGGGTGCCACCCGGGCTCCAGGGACGGGAACAAAGCCCAGAGCGAGGGCTGGTGTCTGCTCCGAGGGATGCTCCGCTGGGCACCAGACGCTTCCTCCCGCATCCATGGGCAGGGTTTTTCCCTTTTTTTTTTTTTTTTTTTTTTTTTTTTTTTTGTTTTTCCCCATCTCTGTTGTGGTTTTGTGCAACAATCGGCACTGCGGGACCCGTTTTCGACGGCCCCTCCATCATCAGGGCTGGCGGGTACCAGCTGTGGAGTTGCCTGGCAGGCCTGAATTTCCCTCTCCCCACAGCAAAGACCCCTCCTGCTCCGTGTTTTTCCCTCCCTGACCCCCCTCCCCGCCGCTCGGGGGTTGCTGTGGGCCTGAAGCAGCTGCTGGGGGGGTGCGGGGGGGGTGCCTGTTAGCAGGATCAGGCTTGTCGCATCTCAGTTTGGGAATGGTTTGGCACAGTGTGCAAGCGCCCAAGAGCTGCTGGAATTGGGGGGGGGTGTGTGCGTTTCCCAGCCAGGCAACTTCCAGCATCTCAAGAAGTGGCTGAGGGGGATTGGGATGGGGTGGGGGGGAATGGAGGGGGCAGGGGGTGAAGTAGGATCCAGGGATGAACCGGGCTTGGAGCCCGCGGCAGCTGCCCCCCGTCCCCCCCCCGCCCCGGAGCTGCAGACTCCGAGGGGACCCCAGGGTAGGGCCCCCTCGCCCCCCCTCCCCGGCGCAGAGGGAGCCCAGGACAAAGGCTCCTTCTCTCCACATCTGGATCGGCGGCTCTGGGCGGAGCTGGGCGCAAGTGTCCGCCCCCCACCTCCCCTTCTAACCCCCCCCCTCCCCCCAATCTGGCTCCGCGGCTCCCAGGGGAGCGGGGGGGCAGCGTCCACATCCCCTCAAACCCCCCCCCCTAAACCCCCCTCCTCTCCTCCACATCTGGCTCCGCGGCTCCGGGCGGAGCTCGGGGCATGCCCACCCCCCCTCCTCCGCACCCCCCCCCCCCCCCCCCGCCTTCACATCTGGGTGGGCGGCGGGGGCAGCGCCGGTAACTGCCGTCCCCAGCGGGAGGAGGCGCGGAAGGGGGGAGCGGGCAGAGCCCCCCCCCCCCCCCCGCCCCATGCAGCCGCCGGTTCTCCCGTGGGGGCAGCACCCCCGCGGGGCCCGAGGAGCGGAGGGGAGGGGGGGGGGGGGGCCGGGGGAGCGCAGGACAACAGGACAAACCCCCCCCCCCCCCCCCCCCGCGCCGTCGGGCTCACCTTGGAGATGGCCATGGTGAAGTAGACGAAGAGGCCGGTGGTGGAGGCGATCTGCAGGGCGAAGATGGCCACCACGGCCACGCTGCCCCAGAGCGGCCCCCACCGCCGCCCCCCCGCCGCCCCCCGCGCCCCGTCGGACCCGGGGCCGGGCCCGGGGCTGTCCGGCAGCATCCGAAGGGCCGAGCCACCGCCGGAGCGCAGGTACCGCCCGGCGCTGGGCTGGTGCGGGGCCATCGCCCGGGGCCCGGCCCCGCTGCCGCTGCCCCGCGCCCGCCGCGCTCCGACGGGAGGGACCGGCCGTGGGGCGGGGCCGCGGGGCGGGGCCACCCCCCGAGATTTTGGGGGGGGGGGGTGGGGGGGTGGGAAGAGGGGGGGGTGGGGGGTGGGAAGAGGTGGGGGGCGACCCCCGGGAAGCGACGGGGTTGGGGGACGGTTCGGTCTCGGGGTGACCCCACGGGGTTGGGGGGCAGCCAGCTCCAGGCAGCTAGATCCACACACACCCCCCCCCCCCCCCCCCCCGGCGATGCTCCCTGCGCTGCGAACTGAAGGTCTCGGGGCTGGTGGGGTGGGCAGGGTGATGGGGCCACATGTCCGGGGGGGGGGGGGGGGGGCCGGCGGGGCCACCCCGAGATGCTCAGACAGGTCAAAGGTTTCAGGGAGGGGGTCGACGGCTGCTGAGGTTTGCAGAGGGGGGGGCGGCAAGACACCCCCCCCCCCCCCGCCTTGGGTCGGGAGCAGGGTGCCCCCTGCGCACTCTGGCGTTTGGCCCCTGCGCCCCAGCGCGCTGTCCCGCGGGGGGATGGAGCACCCACCCGCTCGGAAAAGCAAACGTGGAATTGTTTGGAAAGCAAACAGAAAAGGCCGGCGAATGGGCCGCTCGGCGGTCAGGTGAGCCCGCGGCTTTCAGGGGTTTTGCCTCTGAAATGAAAGCGAGATCCTGCTAAAGCGCAGAGGCGCTTCGGTCCCCGCCGAGGATGGGGCGGTCCCGGCGGGGTGGCAACACGGGGACCTGGAGGTGAGAATGAATTCGGACCCGGGTGGGACCCACGGTGGGGGTCGCTGCCCCGTGGCCGTCCCCAGGCTGGGACACAGCCCGGTTCTTCACCACTGCTGCTCTCCCCCCCCCGGGGAACCAAAGCCCTGCCAGGCTGAGCTTTGATCCTTTAAAACTGTCCGTGATGTTTCAGTACTAACAGCGGTTCAGGATGTGGCCCTTACTCCTAGATTTTCTGGGCTGGGTCTCGCAGAGCGTGTGTCACCCCCCAGTCTGGGGAACGGGGCGAGCTGGTAAGACGAGGCGGCTCACCGGCGGCTCGCTTCTGCGGCGCTCTCACACAAGGAAGGGGTTTTTGGGTTTTTGGGGTTTCTTTCGAAAAGGAACTTGTCCCGCTTCACATCCCACCTGCCAGGAATGGCACTGTCTCCCCCACCGAACCTTCTTGCACCCCCCCCCCACCCCCCGGCTTCGTGGAGGCCAGTTTCCTGCAGGGCACAGGGGATGCAGGAGAAGGCAGCTATTCACAGCTACCACCTAATTAAAAGCGGAAGAGCAGGTCCAATTTCTCTTTGGGGGGCTGAGGGGAAGCAGCAACTCCCTTTCAGGTCCCTAATTTCATCGGGCCTGGGGACAGGACTTGTCCTTTCCCTTCGCTGCCAGGGCAGTCGCTTGAAGAAAATCCTCTGCAGCATCTTCCCAACCCTACTTTTGGGCGTTCTTGTCCCCCGTCGCAGCTAGTGGCCTTACCCCCGTGGCACTGCCCACCCTCCCGCGGGGCAGGAGGGGGACGGTGAGGCAGTGTGAGGCTGTTTGGGGCTCCCTCCCCAGGAGACGGAGGAGGTGGCCCTTGCTGGAGGACGTTGGGGGGCTGGTCCCCCTGCTCATCCCCAAACTCAGCGGCCACTCAGGGTGTGGGGAGGCGAGGGGGTGGCCCTGGTGTCCCAGCTGCTCGTGCGTGGGGCAGAGCACAGCAGAGGATCAAGCAGGTCCTGCCTTTTCTTCTGCCCGGTTTGCAGCCATCCTGCCTGCACGGGGAGTGACCCCTGGTCCCTTCTTTCTCCTTTCCTGGTCACCCCAGGCTCTATCTGGTTGTGGCAGCAGTCACCCTGGGTGGCCCCGGGGTGTCCCCGGCCTGGGCCGGCGGCTGTTCCTGGCAGCGGGTGTTATCTCTGGGGCGGCCCGCACCCATCACGCGGGTGCTGCACCCTGGCACGGGGGTGCTCAGCACCCGGACAGGGTGGTTGGAGGCTGAAGGCGGCTTTGGCACAGGGAAAGTTGTCTGGAAGGAGCCGTCAGTGCTGCGGGGGAGCCCCTGCCCGGCCCCGAGCCCTGCCCCGCGTTTCTCCCGGAGCAGACCCTCGTTCTGGGGGTGACGGCTGCCTGAGGCCATCAGTACTGGCTCTCTCCTTGCTCCTCGGGCTGACACCCACACACGTGTCCCTCCTCCAGCCCTTTGCTCTCTGGACCCGTCACTGCAGCCGGGCTGGGTTGGCATCGCACGTAGCCCAGGAGCCCTTTTGAGAGGGTCTCCCCCACAAGCTTCCCCCCACCCACGTCTTGCTTTGCCACGAGGGGAGCGTGGGGACACTTAATCTCAGCATTTTGCTGTCCCCAAGCCCATCTTTATCCTTTGGCGTGCACAAATGTGCGGCCAGGCGTGTCGGGCTCCCCCAGGAGCAGGCAGAGGAGCCGCGTGACCGGCTGCCGTGACCTCCCAGACGTGGGAAAGTGGGTAACTAGTCACCTTATCTGCTTTTACTGCTTTTTTGCAAAAGTCTCCGCCAAGCCTTGAATAATGCAAGCTCCGTGCAAATGTCTTTCGCTCACCGATGGAATCACTTTCTCGCTGCACGCGTGTCTCCAGCGGACCGTGATGTGGGGAGGGAGAGGATGTGGGGCAGCGGGTGTGGAGGAGGCTGGCGGTTTCCTTGCTGTCTTCTGGGCAGCAAAAAGGTTTTCCTTTTGCCTCTTTTAAGCAGGAAGGCAGCACCGATGCTGCGCGGGGGCTGCGGCCGCCCCTGCCCCCCACCTCCTGGTGACCTGCACTGCAGCCTGCTCAGAGCAAAGCTGCCGGAGCAGGGGGAGGGAGGAGGGACCCTCTGCGGAGGAGAGATGGGGAAGGGGGG